GGTGAGGCTGTTTAATGGCTGCTCCTTCCAGCAGGATTCTTGCCAGAATTGGGCCGATTGCGAAGACAGAGAGGAGGAGGGAGGATGGAGGTCGAGGCCCAGCTGGGAAGAGGGGGCAGAGGAGCTGCAGCAGTGGCCCGCGGCCTTCGGGGTCTCACAGCCACAGGGCCTCCTTGGGCTCTCATCCTCTGCAGGGCTGTGGGCTCCTCCGACAGCCCTTTCATCAAGGCGTGGCTTGGCTTTGTGGTGAGGCCTCCCGGGGGCGGGAAGCAAAGGGTGAATGAGATCTCTGTCCACAGTCCTTGGCTGGGCTGCCACGAGGGCCTGGGAGAGGCAGAGAAGGAAACCGTCCGCGCCTGGGCTGGGTCGCTCGGAATTCCCCTCTCCCTGAATAGGAGGCCACAGGCGCCCCCTGAGACCTCTGTGGGCCCAGGACGTCTCGTGTCCAGGGGCTGCGGAGCTGCCGTGGGGACCCCGACGAGATGGGAAGCATCTCTTAAGTGGGGGAGTTGGCGGCTAACTTTGCTAAGTAGGAAAAGATTGAAGAAGCGTCTGACCACGTCATCCTTCTTTTTCACACGGTTGAAAGATGGCATTTGCCAACACATGTGGCAAAAATGTGCAGGCCACCAATGTCCCAGTCAACTGCTCCCTGCCCCCCTCGGCCCCCAGACCCTCACTGGCCAATCAGAGCAGCGCAAACAGAAGAACCTGCTGGGAGTGTCCAGAAATGGGCGGGCGATCCTGTCCCGGGCCTTGTGTGGCTACAGTGACCCCTCCCAGCCTTGTCCTGAACTGGCTTGGGTGGGGGCGGGGGCAGGGGTGGGGGTGCCTGGTGCCTGAGCCCCTGTCCACCCCGGCTCACCACCACTGCTAGAAGGTGCTGAGCCCTGGGGCAGGACTGATGACCTTGGGGTCCAGGACTCCGGGGGTGGGGGGAAGAAAGTGGCACCCTGAGTTTTCCGAGCTGCTCACTGAATTGGGGCACTTCCTGCCACCGGCAGTGTAGCACTTGCTGTGTGCTGGGAGGTTTGCCCTCCACACCCAGGCACGGGTGCTCTCACACCCCAGTGGGTTTGCTACAAACGCCAGCCCCACCTCGGCCTGTCCGCCAGCCCTCAGCCTTCCACCTTCCCTGCTGGCTGCCGCCACGGGAGCTCCTCACCCGGTGTGGGCCCCTTGATGGAGGACGTGCCAGCCTCCGGCACTCTGCACACTGTGCCAGCCTCTGTCCCCGTGGATTCCCCAGCCCGTGGAATTCTGCTGGAGCTGCACCGCCGGCCCTGGGACAAGTGCCCACATTGCTGGTGGCAGGAAGTGCTCAATCTGAGTGAGGAGCTCAGAAAACTCAGGACGTCATTGTAACCAAGTGAGGCCGAGGTGTCGGTGGGGCTGCGAGGGCAAAGCCATTCCAGGCCTCTCTGCTTGTTTCCGATGCTGGCAGTCTGGCTTGTAGACACACTGTGCGCCATTCTGCCTTGTTCCTCACGCTGTATTCTGTGTGTGTGTGTGTGTGTGTGTGTCCTTTTAAACATGCGGAGTTTGGGGCCATCCTGATGCCTTCACTGGAATTTGGTGATGATCCTATCTCCACCAAGATCACTGCACTAAACCTGTCTTAGGCCGTGTGTTGGTGATGTTCTCGGCACATGAATGAATTGTGCGTTTCCACTCCGGTCCAGCCCCCAGGAGTGTCTTCTTACGTGTGTGCAAGTATTCTGTGAAGTCCTGGGGACCGCTATAGGACAGGAGCTCCACAGGGGCTCTGAGCTGAACAGAAGCGTGGCTGAGTCTGCCTCTAGGAAGAGGGGCCCATGAGAGGGAGCTGGTTCTGGAAAGATCCACGATTCTTTCCTTCTTCTTCTTTTTTTTTTAATGATGAACCTGTTTAGACCAGAATTTTGACTTCATGAAATAGTGAGGTACTCTTGCCGTCAGCGTCACCACCCCTTAATGCCACTGTGTCAGTTTTCTCTTCTTGCTGGCCCCTCTGTCCTCTCATCCAGGGTTAACGTTTATAAGACACAGCTATGGTGTTAAAAACTGATGGGTGTCTCCCTCGTGCTAAATTCCATGAGCATCAAGGCCCGGTGTTGTGGTGCAGTGGGTTGTCACAATACTGGCATCTCATATTGGAATACCAGTTTGAGTCCTGGCTGCTCCACTTCTGATCCAGCTCTCTGCTAGTGCACCTGGGAAAGCAGCAGAAGACGGCCCAAGCGCTTGGGTCCCTGCACCCACGCGGGAGACTTGGAGGGAGTTCTTGGTTCCTGGCTTCAGCCTGACCAGCTCTGTCTATGGTGGCCATTTGGGGAGTGAACCAGAAACTGAAAGATTCTCTCTCTCTCTCTGTGCGCCTCTCCATTTTTAAATAAATAAAGTAAATCTTATGAATTCTTTAAGCACCAGCCCCAGACTGCTGTGCAGGTGGTCATTATCTGGATGAGAACTTGGACCGTCACTATTTTATGGGTCCAGTTTCCTTAAAAAGCTCTGAGGTGCTGTCCCAACCCCCTCGGCCCAGAGGATTCCCAGGTGTTTGCGTGTTGTCTTGATGGGCGGACAGGTGAATCCTGAGGCCTTCTCTTGTCTTGATGGGTGGACAGATGAGTCCTGAGGCCTTCCCTTGTCTTGATGGGCGGACAGGTGAATCCTGAGGCCTTCTCTTGTCTTGATGGGCGGACAGATGAATCCTGAGGCCTTCCCTTGTCTTGATGGGCGGACAGGTGAATCCTGAGGCCTTCTCTTGTCTTGATGGATGGACAGGTGAATCCTGAGGCCTTCCCTTGTCTTGATGGATGGACAGGTGAATCCTGAGGCCTTCTCTTGTCTTGCTGGGTGGACAGGTGAATCCTGAGGCCTTCTCTTGTCTTGGTGGGTGGACAGGTGAATCCTGAGGCCTTCCCTTGTCTTGATGGGTGGACAGATGAATCCTGAGACCTTCTCTTGTCTTGGTGGGTGGACAGGTGAATCCTGAGGCCTTCCCTTGTCTTGATGGGCCCTATTTCACAGCCCCTGAGGCTGGCAGTGGGGCCCAGATGCTGGCTCTGGGTCACATCGGGCTGGCAGAGTGGCTGTCAGGCACAGTGGCTTGTGAAGACGTGCGGGACTTGAGTGATTTGATGTTTTTCCTCCCTGGTCCTTCCTGAGAGAAGCGACCGTTTTTGGTAAACAAACCCGACCTGCAGCCTGTGTGGACGTCCACTCTGGCGGCTCTCGGGAGCTCATTGTCTTTCGGCTTTACCCGAGGCCTGGCTTTCAAGGAGTTTACTCCCTCTAGCAGGAAGCGAGGTATTTTGAGATATTTGGTTTCTGGATGTTGTACTGTCAACCTGGGTAACCTGGGCCTTGTTGGGAACAGCAGGCATGGGTGGGGAAAGACGGAAGAACCAGAGAGGAAACTGCAAAATGGAGCCTGAAGAATAAATGACGACGGCCAGCGGGGATGGCGTTCCAAGGTGTTCTTGCGGGTCAGAACTGGACTTGCTTCTCTGGCATGTACTTCGTTAGATCAGAGAAATGCACACGGTCCCTCCATGTAGAGCTAGAACAGGAGGCTCCCTTCCGTGTAGATCCAGAGTGCGTGGCTCCCCCCGTGGGATCCAGAGTGTGTGGCTCCCCTGTGAGATCCAGAGTGTGTGGCCCCCCTTCATGGGATCCAGAGTGCATGGCCCCCCTTCATGGGATCCAGAGTGCATGGCCCCCCTTCATGGGATCCAGAGTGCATGGCCCCCCTTCATGGGATCCAGAGTGCATGGCCCCCCTTCATGAGATCCAGAGTGTGTGGCCCCCCTTCATGGGATCCAGAGTGTGTGGCCCCCCTTCATGGGATCCAGAGTGTGTGGCTCCCCCCGTGGGATCCAGAGTGCATGGCTCCCCCGTGGGATCCAGAGTGCGTGGCTCCCCCTTCATGGGATCCAGAGTGTGTGACTCCCCCTTCATGGGATCCAGAGTGTGTGGCTCCCCCCTGGTATCCAGAGTGTGTGGCTCCCCCTTCATGGGATCCAGAGTGTGTGGCTCCCCCCTGGGATCCAGAGTGTGTGGCCCCCCTTCATGGGATCCAGAGTGCGTGGCTCCCCCTTCATGGGATCCAGAGTGCGTGGCTCCCCCTTCATGGGATCCAGAGTGTGTGGCCCCCCTTCATGGGATCCAGAGTGTGTGGGCCCCCCGTGGGATCCAGAGTGCGTGGCTCCCCCCTGGGATCCAGAGTGTGTGGCTCCCCTGTGAGATCCTGATAGTGTGGAATCCCTCGTGAGATCCAGAGTGCGTGGCTTGAGTCCTCCAGGCCGTGGAGCTGCAGCTCCTTGTGCAGGTCTGGCCCCATGTCCTTTTGGACAAGGATTCCAGAAGGCGCAGAGGCCAAGGGGCTGCCTGGACCAGTGCCAGAATCCTCGTGCTCTTTGTCTGACACTGTGGTGCGTGGAGAGACACTGGCAGCCTCCGTACGTAAGCACAGCACTCCACTCCTGTACACACAAGCTTCAGCCCAGGCCTCCTCATGCTTTAAAAAAAACTATTTAAATATTTTTATATATTTATGGGGTGCAGTATGATAATTTTTTTAAAGAAAATTTATGTATTTATTTGAGAGAGTTACAGAGAGAGGGAGAGCAGAGAGAAAGGTCTTCCATCTGCTGGTTCACTCTCCAAATGGCTGCAACGGACGGAGCTGAGCCATGGTGCAGGTGCAGGGGCCCAAGCACTTGGGTCATCTTCCTCTGCTCTTCCCAGCCATAGCAGAGCTGGATCAGAAGAGGAGCAGCTGGGACTAGAACCAGCACCCACATGGGATGCACTGGTGCCCGCCCCATGGTGTGATAATTTGCTCCACGCACACCGTGAGTGATGACCAAACCAGGGGAGCTAGCATTTGCCCCTTCGTGACCACTGCTGATTTCCTTGTGTTGGGAGCACAGGTCCTCAGTGGCCCCGTGACCGTGCTTGGGAGCCCGTTCCGCCCGCGCGCTGTTGGGTCTGACTCTGGCTTTCGCTCTTTTCAGATGGCTTTCCTGAAGACGCGGGTGCTGTACGCCTGCCTCCTGGTTGTGGGCGCGCTCTGCGTGTACTTCAGCATGGACACTCTGGTGGCCTTCAAGGAAGGGCCGTTGGTTTACAAGAAGGAATTCGGGAAGTTCCTGCAGCTCCCGGATGCCGACTGCAGGCAGAAGCCCCCCTTCCTCGTCCTGCTGGTGACCTCGTCCCTCCATCAGGCGGAGGCGCGCATGGCCATCCGGGAGACGTGGGGCCGGGAGAGGACGGTGAGAGGGCGACAGGTGCAGGCGTACTTCCTCCTGGGGATGTCGGCCAGCAAGGCCGAGATGGCAGCTGTGGCCCGGGAGAGCCAGCAGTACCGCGACATCATCCAGAAGGACTTCGAGGACGTCTACTTCAACCTGACCCTGAAGACGCTGATGGGGCTGGAGTGGGTGTACCACCACTGCCCCCAGGCGGGCTTTGTGATGAAGGCCGACTCGGACATGTTCATCAATGTGGACTACCTGACCGAGCTCCTGCTCAGGAAGAACAAGACGACGCGGCTCTTCACGGGCCACCTGAAGATGAATGATGTCCCCATCAGGAACAAGTTCAACAAGTGGTTTGTGAGCAAGTATGAGTACCCGTGGGACAAGTACCCGCCCTTCTGCTCGGGCACCGCCTACGTGTTCTCGGGCGACGTGGCCAGTCAGGTGTACAACGTCTCGGACAGCGTGCCCTTCCTCAAGCTGGAGGACGTGTTCGTGGGGCTCTGCCTGGCGAAGCTGGGGATCCGGCCGGAGGAGCTGCACTCCAAGCGGACCTTCTTCCCCGAGGGGCTGCGCTTCTCCGTGTGCCGCTTCCGGAAGATCGTGGCCTGCCACTTTGTCAAGCCTGCCGACCTGCTGACCTTCTGGGAAGCCGTGGAGAGCTCCCGGGAGGAACAGTGCTAAGGGGTGTCGGAGGAGCCCTGCGGCACACCCAGACGGGCTGCGGAGAGACAGGGGGGCAGGGAGAGGAGGATGTGGGCGCGGGGGGTCCGCTCGCCCCCGACAGTGCCCCCGGCGACAGCTGCGGCCGAGTCGTGGTCCCCGAGCCATCGTGCCTGAGTTTGAGACACACCTGCGTTTTCTGCTTGCAGGGGTTGGGTTGGGGGGCATTGTGTCCCCATTTCATAGACAGGGACACAGCAGCTAAGGGAGGGGCAGGCACGGGTCCCAGGCCTCCCAGCCAACTAATGGTGGGTGGGGAGGAAAATCCAGCCTTCAGAACCCCCTCTCTGTGCTGCCTCCCGCGGGAGAGGGGGTGATGACCGTGGCTCGGGGGGAGCCCAGCGTCCCCCAGTCTCTTTCCAGAGTCCCCTGCTGTCAGCTCCCAATGCTTGTGCTTTGCAGGGCTGAGACCGGGGGTGACCTAACTCAGGCTCCCCTCACTTGCTGGCGTGGGTGGAGCCCGCCCCCCAGGCTCGGCACTGAACGTGCCTTGGCTGCAGCTCACGCCCAGCTTCAGACAGAAAGCGGCTTTCCTGGATTTGTGGATCGGGCTGGCCGTGCCGACTGACCAGGCGCTGGCCTCCCTGGAGGAGGCGTGATGTCACCCCTGAGCTGTCTGTGGCCTCTGGTCTCTTCGCCCCGGGTGCCATTTGTCTTCTATTGATGGGGACCAGAATGCTGCGAGCCTTCCTGGGAAGCAGCTGGCTCCAAGTCAGGGGGGTTTGCAAAGTCCCCCAGCTCGGACACCACACACCCAGGGGAACCCTGGTCCAGGGGGCTCCAGCCTGGCCCGAGCTCATCTTCACTGACCTCATCTGGCCAAGTGAAAATGGAGGTTTTGCAAACGGAGTTTGCCCTTCCTTCTCTCCCCGCTGCAGAGGTTCCTCTGAGCCTGTTCGGCAGGCTGGTGTGCAGACGAGGCCGTTCGTGGCTAAGGCTTTTGCCAAGTGTGATGTGCAAGGTGATCTCGCTGCAAAGCCTGGGGATGATTGCACTTTGCTGGGGACGTGGAGAGAGGCCTCCTGGCCAGGCTGCGCAGCGGGGGGTGCAGGCCTGGCTCGGCCTGAGCGCGGGAGGAGCTCTCTGCCGCAGGGTGCGTGGGGCAGCGCGGAGGGGCACGGGGTGGTCCAGAGCCCTCTTCCGCACGGGGTTTCTCTTGCGTGCGGGTTGAGCTGCCGCTCGCGATGCATTTCCCCATCCAGGCTGCTCGGAACCTGAATGCGCAGGGTCGGGTCAGAAAAGCCCCTTTCTCAGGTGGAAAATTCTGGGACTGAGCTCCCTTGTGGAAGCCCAGGTTTTGCAAGAGCCGTAGCCCTCGGCGCCGTAGCCCGGGTGCCCCGATGCTGAAGCCGGTGGTGGGCTTTGAGACGAAGCGGCTCATCTGGCGAGAGGCCTGGGCCTGCGTGGAGCTGACCGCCTTCTCCAGTGTGGGCTGAGGCCAGGGGAGCCAGCCGCCTCCTACAGATCAGCCCACAGCCCTTGGCCTTGGGCACACGTGAGTGGAGGCGTGGGTCCCCCCTGCAGCCTCTGTGTGTTCTTCAAGGATTTGCTACGAGACCCTGTTTCTAGCACTTCCTCTCTTTACCTTCTCCAGGGAGGAGGGATTCTGGGATTTGAGGGAGCGTAGAGGTCGTTTGGTCCTGTCTTCTTTCCTCTGTGGGATGTAAGCACAGCTCGGAGGGACCCGCACGTGGTGTAGGTCCCGGCCAGCTCACTTCTGCTCACTTCTGTTCGTCACGGTGTGGGAGTGTGAGTCAGCAGGCTAGGCGGCGCTTCCCCGTGTGGGGCCCAGGGGGCCCAGCCCAGCGTCCCCGGGCCCCACCAGGCGTCCAGAGGGTTGGTTTGGAAAGCCATTGCTGTCTGCCAGGTACAAACGAAAGACTTTATAGCTCGGACCGCACAGCGTTCTGTGAACGCTCCCAGCAGCTCTCCGGGGAGTGACCGCCGAAGTCCTTGGTGTGTACCTGAGCAGACGGAGCCCGAGAGGCTGCACGGCTCGCAAGCCGCTGGGTCTCCCAAGCCGTCAGCTGACCCCGACACCACACACCCCCAGCCTGTAAACCCCGCTGCTCCCCTTCCTGGGTGACCGTGGGGAGGAACCACTCCTGCTGCGCCAGCGCCTGCTCCCTGAGACTGGGTCGCCAGCTCCGCCTACCTCCTCCAGAGCCCGGCTCTGGGCCCTGGCCTCACCCTTGCTGCCCGCATCCCTGTCCACTGCCCCTACTGGTCCCTCCCCCGGAACACACACACACACGCTGCTTCCCCAGCACACACACACACGCACACACATACACGATGCTGCCGTAGTGCGTGCACACACACACAGACACACACACACATACATGCTGCTGCCCTAGTGCGTGCACACACACACAGACACACACACATACATGCTGCTGCCCCAGTATACACATACACGCACATTCACGCACACGCTGCTCCCCCAGCCCACAGACACGTGCGCACGCGCGCACACACACACACACTCACGTTTTGATATCCCGGCAACACAGTGAGCCCCCACCTCCCAGTGACCCTGCCCCTCCAGCTGCCCCCACTTCTGTCTCCGTGGTGGTGTGCCTCGCGCGGGGGGCTCTGTCTCCGTGGTGGTGCGCCTCGCGCGCGGGGGCTCTGTCTCTGTGGTGGTGTGCCTCGCGCGGGGGCTCTGTCTCTGGTGGTGTGCCTCGCGTGGGGGCTCTGTCTCCGTGGTGGTGCGCCTCGTGCGGGGGCTCTGTCTCTGGTGGTGTGCCTCGCGCGGGGGCTCTGTCTCCGTGGTGGTCCGCCTCACACGCGGGCTCTGCTTCCTTGCTGTCTTCTCCCTTCCTTCCACTTGGTCTGGCCGGACCCAGGGGTCTTTTGGAGGTCGCGGGTGGGGTGGTGCCCTGGGACAGCCCTAAGTACTGCAGCTGCTTCCTGGACAAAGTCCCCCCCCCAGCTTCCTGTACCCCCACGTGCTGGGGTTCCCCCTCCCAGCTGGTGGCTGCTTCTCCATCTCCTTTGCCTCTTGCTTTCCTGTGCTTTTCCTGTCGGGGACTGGGGGGCCCGGGCTCTGCCTTGGCCCTGCCTTCTCCAGGGATCCAGGTTGTGCAGGGAGCACCCCCGGCTTCACGGCTCCTTTGTTACGAGGCCCATGGCCCCATCATCCCCAGCCCAGGACTCTCTCTCTGCGGTAGCCTGCACACTGTGTCCTTGATTTTGCACAACAAGCAGACCTAGGACTCCGCTTGCGATCGCTCCTTCCCGGCCTCGCGCTGTCTGCTATTGGCTCTCATCCTTCTGGGCTCAGGCAGAGACCCTGCTGTCCGCGTTGACTTCCCTCTCTCAGCTGCTGGGTCGGGGACCTCTGTCAGGTTCTACCTTCAGAGTCTACCCAGCAGCTAGCCGCCCGGCTCCACCGCCACCGCCCCACCCTTGCCCAAGCTGATCGCCTCTCATTCGCCTGCCTGCACCGGCATCCGACCTACTCTGTCGGCCCCTCTCTGTGTCCCTGTGACCTGTTTCCAACAGTGTCCTTTGAAAGTGCGCACCAGAGCTCCTGCTGTGGGTTGAAGCATTGCCCCAGCCCCACCTGTGGGGGGCTTACTGCCCAGGCCCACTGTCGTGGGAGGTGGGGCCCAGCGGGCACTGATGGCTGGCGAGGGCCCTGCCTTCCTGAGTGGATTCTTGTCGCGTTAGCCAGCTCACGAGTGAGTTGTTAAAAACACGCTTGTCCCCTCTCGCTGCTGGCCCTCACCCGCTCTTGCCTTCTGTGGCCTGCCGTGGGTGGTGGCATGCTGGCGCCACACTCGGGCACGCCCCAGCCCCAGGGCTGTGAACCAAATACATGTTGTGTCTTCATGTTTATACCAGGCTCAGGTATTCTGTTGAGCAGCACGGAGAGGACTAAGATCGCATCTCCCCTCGCTGCCCCAAACCCTCCAGGGGCCTCTTGTTTGAGTGGCCAGCCACGTCCTTTGTCCTGAGATCTGTCTGTCCTCAGCCCCTCACTCTCCTTTTGCTCACTCCTGCCTCCGTGCTGTTTCTCGGACGTCCACCCCAGGGCCTTTGCACTGGCTCTTCCCTCTGCCAGGAGGGCCCTTTCCCCCTTATTCTCAAGGCTCACTGCTTTGCGCCCTGCAAGTCTTGGATCAGGGAGGCCGACCCTGCCCTCCTCGTGTGAAATCACAGCTCAGCCCACCTCCCTGTCTTCTTGCCTCAGGATTTTCCCATTGCACTTAGCAGTTGTTCATGGAGCGTGTATAAGGCCTGCTTATTGTGTCTATTTTGTTTATTGTTAATGTTTCAGCCAACCCGAGTGTAAGCTTTGGGTGGGGGAGCCCTTCCTAATTTCTTTGTTGCCGCACTTGGAGCTGTTAGGGTGGTGCCCGGCACATGTGCTGGGTGGAACAGAATTGGCTGTTGTGCACTGCGGCTTTTAGAAGGGAGTAGGCGACTCAGGACCGCGAACATGCAGGATCTGAAACACGGCCCAGGATGTGACGCCCCGTGAGTCAGCGGTGGGGACCCAGGTGCGCTTTTATTGACGGAGTGACCTGAAAACCCAGAAGCGCTATAAACAGGGCTTGGCGGCTTCGAGCCCGTCCCTTTCCAGAACGTTGCTGGGAGAATTGCATCGCACAGGCCAAGTGTGAGAAAGGTGGACGGGCGCAGCTTCACCGGGAGGGGCATCCCTGGGCTTGGGAGCCGGAGTGCCACGTCCATCTGAAATCCGGTGAAGGGCCGTGATGCAGGACGTAGCTTCCCTTGGACACCTGCCCGTTGCGTAGACTTCGGGGTCTGTGCGAACAATGAAAATGAAAGCTTACTGGAGTTCGTCTGGCAGAACCCGTGCGTGTGAGGTCTTCCGAAGGCCTCACTGACCCTAGAGTTGCGGGAGGTAGGGGAGTGAGCCTTGACAGTGCCCCAGGAAAGGACGGCCCTGGCAGAGGGGGCGCTCCGTGCCGGGCCGGAGGAGACTTCGCACGGATCTAGGAAAATTGCTCCTACGAGAGCCCCTTCGCTTGCACTTCCCGTGAACTTGGCAGTGCCCTCCTGTGGACCGCGGTCGGAGAAACTCCTCAAGAGAAGCGCTTTGCTTTTGCACACTGCAGTCCGAGTCGCGTACGCGATCGCTGAAAATTGCTCTGGTCCCCAGGGGCTCTCGGTGACTTGGGAGGGGATCCTCGGGTCATAGCTGTTTCCTAGAGACTCCACTTTGTCCCCAGAGCTAAGTCACTCCCTTGCTCTCTGCAATCCTGGCCCCAGCTTACTCGTTGAATGCGTAGGAAGCTTCGCTTGTCCTGTCCTGTCTACAACACAGTGTATTTCTCAGGGGTGTGTGTGCACCCCGAGTGCATTGGCTCTGGGCAGCAGGACCCCCGATTTCCAGCTCCCCTGTCCCTACCCTCTGGGTCCTGGGGGGTTCACATCCTCATTGCTGCAGGCGACAACTGGAACAGAAAGCAAGAACCAGGTTTATTTGCTTATTTATTTTTTAAAGTTTTATTTATTTGAAAGACAGTTATGGGGATGGGGGAGAAACAGAACGAAAGAAATCTTCCATCCACTCCCCAAATGGTCAGGATAGTCAGGGCTGGGCCAGGTCGAAGCTGGGAGCCAGGGACTCCATCTGGGTCTCCCATGTGGGTGCAGGGACCCAAGGACTTGGGCCATCTTCCATTGCTTTCCCAGGTGCATCAGTAGGGAGCTGGATTGGAAGTGGAGCAGCTGGGACTCGAACCAGAGTTCCCACTGAGGGTGGAGACGCAGCCACTCACCCTTCAAATGCCGCGTCCTGTGAGCAGCCTCACCCTTCTCCCCCAGGCTCAGGGCCGCGTGGCCCCAGGAGGTGCCTCTGCTGCTCCTTCCTGGTCTGGTTGGTCCTTTGCCATCTGTGGCCTCCCAGGCCTTCTCTTCCGCTGGCCCCCTGCTCTGTCCTGGCTGCCTGAGTCTCGAGTTCACTCAGGTTGTGTTGAATCAGAACACAGGCCCCCCAGTCCAGCCCCTGTTCCTTCTTGTTCTATCCAGAGCCCCTTCACAGCCGGCCTCTGGGCCCAGCACTCTGCTGCCAGGCTCTGCCAGCCTGTGAGTGTGCGTGGTGTGTGTGTGTGTGTGTGTGTGTGCATGTGCGTGTGTGTGTGTGTGAGTAGTGTGTCCAAGCCTCACGCTGGCTCCACCGTCAGGGGCGGCTGCTTTCTGACATGCATGGCCCATGTGTATCAATTTAAAAGTAGGTGAGTGGATTAAACCTGTGCCTTAGGTGCCAGCATCCCATAGAGGCACTAGTTCAAGTCCCAGCTGCTCCACTTCCAGTCCAGCTCCCTGCTAACGCACCTGAGAAAGCATCGGAAGATGGCCCACGTCCTTGGGCCCTGCATGCATGTGGGAGACTGGGAGGAAGCTCCTGGCTCCTGGCTTTTTGGCCATTTGGGGAGTGAACCAACAGATGGAAGATCATGATCTCTCTCTCTCTGTAACTCTGCCTTTCAAGCAAATAAATCTTAAAAAAAAAAAAAAAGAGTCGACGAGACGGTGTTTCCATTTCCTCCATGTCTCCCCCATTTGGAAATATTTGCTTTCTCCTAACTCTTGGGGAAGAACCGATTTTCCACCGTTGTGTGGGGTCTGACGGGGAGGCCTTCCCGGTGGCTGTCCCGGGGCCTGGGGGAGGAGCCCCTCTCTATCTGTTGGGCGAGGGGTTCCCAGCACTGCCTCGTGGAGTGGGTTAACGGATGCAGACGGGAAGTGAACCCCAGAGTCCCTTCCAGCACCGGCCTCCGAGGCCGCTGCTGTCACCGTTGGGGCCACCGGGACTCCAGCGTCTGTGTGTGACGTTGGGAAACCACCAGCGGCCCAGGGGTCTGAAACAAAGGGTCAGCTGCATCTCTGTGGTGGGAGAGGCGCCCACGTGTTCCTTCGGGAACAGAGGGGAGGATTCGTGGGCACGGGGAGACCTGGCAAGGCTGGCGAGCAGGAAGGGACCCTGTGCTCCGAGGTGGCCGAGAAGCCGAAGGGTGAAGCTGGGGTCAGGAAGGCCTGGGCCAGCCCACGAGATGGCCGAGCGCCCACCCACCGCAAGATGGCCAAGCCAAGAATGAGTGTGTAATTAAAATGTTAGGAAGGATTTCCTGCTACTTCTCAGGTGAATACTTGAATATGAGTAATGGGTGGTTTCCACGGAACGGAGTGTTTGGGTCCCGCGTTCTGCCCCCTTGTTCGTCCGATGGGAACAAGTGCATGGTGTGTGCGCGGTGTGGCTGGTGGGCACCCACTTGGCCTGGCTCAGAGCCTCTGCTGCCACCGTGGTGCTCCTGGGAGCCAACACGAGGCCCGCGGGCCCAGGGCTCCAGTCCTGCAGTCGGCTACCTTGTACTCTGGGAGGTGTCTGAAGGTGGCCTTGAACCTGGTCAGATAAGACCACGGCCACAACTGCACCGTGACTGGGAGCCGCTTCGCGCTGACCAACCGAGGCCACTGTGGGGTTAAAGTTCTTGCTCTTCCTAAAAAACTGGAGATTAAATTTTAAGTCGCTGAATGGTGTTTGAAACTGTTGTTTCCTTGTGTGTCTTGGGGATGCACTAGACTCTAACGCTATCATATTCTGGGAGTGGAGCCATGTATTTATTTATGATTTTGCTAATCACGGTATTTAATTAATAAAGATTAAATTGTTGAAATAGCGTAATGCACTTCCCTTGGTTATTTCTGAGTCGTGGATGGATGTGAGGGACTGGAGTCCTGAGAAGCTGGCCACGTGTGGTCCACAGTGGACAATCTTTTTTTTTTTTTTCACTTTGATGTTTTTCTATACTTATTTTGTGTTTGGAAAAATATTTTAAAAATTTGTGATTTTATATGTTTAGGAAAACATGGCGAACAACCTTGACCTGCTCATCTTTGCGGGAGGCGGGGGCTTTTCATTTCCCTTGGTTTCGGGACAAAGCAGTGGCTCTCGCGGCCTGGAGCGTCCTGAGTGGGCAGGTGACCTGGGTGGGTATTTGGACCACAGGCTGGCGTGCAGGTTTTGGAAATGCAGCCAGGGGTGCTGTGACTGGGCATCCTCCACGCCCTTCCTGCCCCAACGCCGGAGTCCCGGGCTGACTCTGGAATAGCCTGACTCAGGCTGTGTCTGTGCCACCATCGCTGTCACCTGCGCTTGTGTGGGGCTCCCTGGCTCGTGGCTGTAGCACAGAGTGGTCACCCATGCGACTCTGCCGCTCCTCGTTCCAGAAACTTCTGTTAGCTTCTGTGTGGACTACAAGGTCCTTCAGTGACCCACAGGGCTATGCTGGCTCTGGCCCCCGAAGACCCCTCTGGCTCCCCACCACACCCACCCGGCTACAGCCATGCAGGCCGTGTTCGCCCAGCCAGCCACACCCCTTCTTCCTGCCCCATCAGCTCAAACGCTCCTCGGGGTCTTGCCATGGCTCCCTCCCGTGTCATTTAGGTCTCCCTGAATGTCCCTCTTGTTTCTCCGGGGCTGCTGTAACAAAGGGCCACACGCAGACGTGGCCCACACAGCACGTTTGTCTCTGTCCTGGAGCCGGAAGTCCAAGCTTAGGTGTGGGCAGGGTCGGTTCTGCTGAGCCCCCTCTCCCTGGCTGTGTTCTCACGTGGCCGTGCCTCTGTGTGTGTCTGCCTCGTCTCCTCTTATGAGGACACCAGTCTTCTTCCGTGTGACCACATCTTACCTAAATCCCCTCTGAGCACCCCCTCTCCACAAGTGGCCACACTTGGAGATGCCAGGGCTCTTGGCGTTCTAATTCTGGGTGGGATCCAATTCAGTCCTTAACAGTGCCCCGCTCTGTAAGCCTCCCTCTCCCACCCCCTCTGCGTTTCTTCCCTCGGCCCCATTCTTCCTTAGGCCACAGCGCACAGCGATCTGTCCGTTGTGTCTGCCCTTGGACTGACAGCTGTAGACGAGCAATCACGTCGTCTTCCTCTTTGCTTCCCTAGATCAGGCAGTGTTTCTAACACCGAAGCCACAGTGCCGCACAAAGGAATGAGCCTGTATTTGAGGGGACTCAGCCAGGGAGCGCTTGATTTTATGAGCGGGAGGGTGGGCCCGTGACTCCACAAGCCAGGCCTCCCATCAGGAGAGGGTGCAAGGAGGGAGAGCAGTGGCCCCTATCTCCTGTCTCAGAATGTGCACCCACGGGTGGTGTGACCAGCCCGGGGCAACTTGCCTTCATGTCTCTTTGCCTTAGCCCCGGGGGAGTGGCTGCCTCAGAGGCAACAAGACCCTCTGTTCCTCTCTCCGCAGCCTGGATGGGCAGGAAGAGGCCCTCACACACCAGGTGGCCACAGGGTCTCTCTCCAAGCTCCCCTATGTTGGAGGACCAGCAGAGGACAGCTACAGTGTTAGTTTCTCTAATAAGCCCATCAGAAATTCATCTTTGGGAGCCAGTGTTATGTTGTAGCAGGTAAAGCCACCGCCTGCAACTCTGGCATCCCATATGGGTAACGGTTTGTGTCCGGGCTACTCCACTTCCAATCCAGCTCCCTGCTGATGGCCTGGGAAAAGCAGCAGAAGATGGCCCTGAGTTTCAGCCCCTGCCACTTCGGTGGGAGACCTGGATAAAGCCATCTGGGAAGTGAACCAGCAGATGGAAGATGTCTGTTTCTCTTCTCTCTCCCTGTAACTCTCACTTCCAAAGAAATAAATAAATCATTAAAAAAAGAAGTCATCTTTGTTCTCACCAGTTTGTGTCACATCCTGCATTCTACCTGAATGTGGCAATCTTCCAGGGGCCAGAGATCATGGGCCCAGGGTGCCTGCTGAGGGGGTGGGCTTTCTTGCAGTGTCTGGCTCAGACCCCAGGAAGCTCTTGGGCCAGCCATGTCACAGGTCCACGCCTGGGATGGATCGGTTCTGCGGAGGCACGGGGCACCTGTGATTGCCCTCACTGAGTCATGGCCCACGCTGTAGCCCTGTGGTCTTGAAGCGTGTGGGCTGTGGTCGACACAGTTCATCAGAGCTACTGGGATTAATGAGGGAAGAGAGTCTCTCGTCCTAGGGGACAGATGCCATTCACATGGATCGCGTGTTGGGCAAAGACCCGAAACCCACGGGACTGAAGTTACAGGCGTGAAGCCGCACAGAGCAGAGGCTCTTGGGCGTCCCTCGAAGAACACCTCCCAGGGAGCTGTCCAGAGGGCCGGCCGGTCATCAGCATTTCGCCTGTGTCAGACACTGATTCCAGTCACTATTTCATCTAGTGCCCATTTGGACAACTGCTAGAATCATCCCCCGTTCACAACAGTGGCTGGTGTCTGATTATTAAGAACCTCAAGGGAGAATAAATGTGACGTCAGCACTTCTCTCTGCCCCGGCCTGATGACTTGCTCTGCAGACACAGTACTGTCTGGACTCAGAAGGCCCTGCTGTTGACAGCTCATCCTCACCCGGCGGTGCTATTCGGTGCAGCAGGGGTGGGCATGGAACAGAACGGCTCAGGCAGAAGACCACGGCGGCCACACACCCATCCCTGGCAGTACAGGGTCCTAGGGAGTTCCAGCCGGTCTGTTCAGACTTCACGGCCCAGGTCTCAGAGCCGTGAACAAGCTTCCTTTTCATCGTGGTCTGTGACCCGGAAGGTTGGGTCAGGCCGGCCACCGCCAGCCCCCGGGTGACGATGATGCTATGGAGGCCGTGGTTGGTCGGGGAGAAGCTGGGCCCTGCGGGCTTCCTGGGCACTGGCCTGTGTCAGCACCGACGCAGGCAGCAACTCGGCAATTCGATTTCTTCCAGGCTGTGTGGAATGAGATCATGTTTTGATTAGCAGTGCCTTCCGTCATGCTCATCTCAGGTAAGCAGCCAGGAGCCCCAGGTGGGGAGCGATCCTGGGATTCACTGGTCCAGCGTCCCCATTGCAGACAGGGCGAAACGGAGCCTCTGCTACGTCTCACGGACAACACCAGAAACGGGGCTGTCTTTTCTCTCGTTCGTCTCATGGCAGCTGGTTTGGGACTCTGAGTGCTTTGCTGTGTCATAGCCTTCAAGGTGTTGGGCTGAAAACAGACTCCCATCTACGTTGGTTGCTGATGCTGGCAATATGTGGGAGAATACCTGGAGCATGCAACCAGCCTATCAGGGACTCAGGAAATACAAAAATCTCGCCCAAGTTACACACCTGGAAATTAGGCCTGGAGTTCCCGCCCCTGCGCTACTGCATTCAAATCCGGAGTTCAAGTTGGAGTCAAAGGGACGCGCCTTGCGGGATTGTTCGCCCAGACTTCCACGTGTGGACTGACTGGAAACTGCTGCACGGATCTTTGTGGGTTGGACGCTATCACGTGCTGCGGTTCCTGCCCTCATGCAACTTACTTTCTGCTCATGAAAATGATCGACAGAGAGACTTTGCAGTGCCTGGTGCACACAGAGAAGATGCCTATGGTATTCTTGGCATACAAGGAAAACCCAGAGAAAGTACAATCTGGCTGCACACCTGCATAAGACCTGGCCACACGGTGGGAGTAGAAGGGCTCCCAGGAGGCGGGGAGTGCTGGGTGTGGACTGGGGTCCGGTGGGCTGTAAGGGAGTGTTGCTCGGCACAGCAGGGTCACAGAGTCCAAGCGCAGGACTGAGAGATGGGACCGGGATGGGCCAGATGTCGGTGTCCTGGAGTCCATGTGTGGAGACCCTAAACCCTGACACGAGAGCACCCGGAGCTCTGGGAGGCTGTTGGTCATGAGGATGGGGCTCTCACGGGTGGAATCGGTGCTTCGGTGGAGAGACACGGAGTCGGCGCTGGCGTGCACTGGGTTAAGGTGCTGCCTGTGATGCCGACACCCCGTTTGAGCGCTCGTTCAAGTTCTGGCTGCTCCGATTCTGAGTCAGCTCCCTGCTAATGCGCCTGGGAAGGCAGAGGATGATGGCCCAAGTGTTCGGGCCCCTGTCAGCCACGTGGGAGGCTGGGATGCAGCTCCTGGCTCCTGGCTTCGGCCTGGCCCTGCCCAGGGCTGCTGTGGGCATTTCGGGAGTGACCCAGTGAACAGAAGATCTCTCTCTGTCTCTCCCTCTCTCTGTCACTCTGCCTTTCAAATAATAAATAAAAAGAAAACTTAAACAATTTGACTTTATCTGAGATAGATGAAGACACTATTAAAAGTTCAAATATGTCTGTTATTAACAGTTATTTTAGAAGAACTTAGAATGGGCAGAAGGAATGTTATAACAATAATTAGGGGCTGACATTGAGATGCAGTGGACTAAACCACCAACCGCAATGCTGGCATCCTACATCGGTGCTGGTTCGAGTCCCGGCTGCTCCACTTCCTATCCAGCTCCCTGCTATTGCACCCGGGAAAGCAGCAGAGGTGGCCCAAGCGCCTGGGCCTATGCCACCCACGTGGGAGACCCAGATGGAGCTCCTGGCTCCTGGCCAAATGTCGGTCGTTGTACCCATTTGGGTAGTGAACCAGCAGATGGAAGATTTCTCTTTCTGTGTGTCTCCCTTTCTTTCTGTCACTCTACCTTCAAATCAACACATCAGTCCTTTTTTTAAACTGTAACTAATATTCCCAGAGATATGAGCAGAAACAAAATAAAGAGAGCCACTAGAGAACAAAACAGGTTTCTTAGAAATTAGAAATACGAACAGACGAGGGAGCACTCCAGTGGAGAGGGGGAGGGGAAGTTGAGGGAGGCTCCCCGTCTCTGCTCTTGGGATGCGCC